TTATTCCGTGCTTTTAACTTATCATGTCGCAGTCCATGACATTTGGTTAATGACTTTTGACTCCGCTAGCATTAATTTTCGAATTGCCAAACTTTTAGCCAGCACCGGCAAGGCTAAAAATAGTGAAAAAGAATTACTTTCCATTGTCAAAGTATTACAAGAATTAATTAAAGGGATTAACGGGCAAAGTAAAGAAAACCACAATGAATATTTAGCCCAAAAAAAAGCCGAAGTTAACTGTATTTTACAAACCACGAAACAAAAAATTATGACCCAAATAGCAGTTGAACAAAATGAGGAAACTCCAAATAAAAATCCTCTTTTAGGTAAAATTTTACCGCACTTAAACTTAACCGAGGAGGAAAGAAAAAAAATAAAAACTAAAATAAATATTCCTAGTTATAGTTTACGCGAATGAAAACTATCTCCTAAGGAAAAAGAATTGCTTTATACTTTAAAAATTATCCTTGAAATGAAACAAAAGAATTTGGATTTTCAAATTGGCTTAGACTTTAACCAGTCAGAAATAAAAAATTTCCAAATAAGCGAAGGAAAAATTTTAATTCCTTTTTCCGCTATTACCGGTATTGGCGAAGTAATTGCTAAAAAAATTACTGATTATCGTCAACAAAAAGGACAAATTAATAATTGAAAAGAAGAATTAACTACTGTTTTAAACAAAAATCATTTGGAGCAATTGGAAAATCTGGAAAAATATCATTTGATAATAGTTTAATGTTTTTTGGTTTTAGGCCAAAATATAAAAATAATTATTCCTAATAAAATCACTCCTCCTATGCTTCCTATTAGCAGAAGTTTATGGTTTTGATACTCGGTTGAGGTGGCGTTTTCCTTGGATTCTTGCTCGGTTGCGGAAGTTTTTAAGTTTGCTTCAATTTCGGCTCAATCTTTTTCGCCATTTTTATATAAGTCCGAAAAAATCATTTTTCAAACTTTTACTCCGGTTTTTTTATTTTGTAAAATATCTTTGTCGTGGTGGTCTTTT